TCAAAGCTCTCAGAGCCATAGCCTTGACTCAATGGCATTCTGTTCCCTTTGACTATGTCCATTTGCTGCAGTGGCTCTTCAGAAAATGCTGGGTTTTTTGGCTGAATTCAGTGTTTAGGTATTCAAATCCAGTTTTTTGGTCTCCTCTTAAAGGAAGGAGTGTAAAGGACAGGCCATGAGCTCCCAACAGCTCTATTCCCTGTCCTCCATGTGGAGTAGGAGGAGCTTGCCTTCTCCCAAGCACCACTGTGAAGTTGATCTTCAAAAGGATGAAAAAATGGGAGAGAAGAGGCAGGGAGGGAAATAAGGTTGCTTTGGGGGGATCTCCATCCTGGTGGAAAGAGTGGGCAGCCAAGGGACACCAGGTAGCAGTAGTCTGTAACCAGGGAGACCAAGTGGGAAATGCTGGGGCCCCACAGGGCTCATCCAATGGCATGGAAGAGGGCAGGGTGCCGCAGGCTGAGTGTGTGATCACGCCTAGGTATAACACGTATTTAGCACTGGAGTGAGTCCAAGGCTGTTATGAATTGCTTCGGGAGGGTGAATCAGAAGGATGAAAAAGGCAGCTGTTTGCTGCCAGGATATTGTAGCAATGCTTTTGAAAATGCTTTGATATCATACTCTGTAGCTGTTTTGGAGTTGGCCGAATCAACATGTTTCTGAAAGGTGCAGCACATGGAAACTTTATATAGCACTGATGTGAAAAACTGTAGCCTTTTCCCTATTCAGAAAGGAATGTGCTGAGTGGTTGGATGAAGGCACTGTGCGCATCCACATGTGTGTGCAGTCAAGGGCTGGAAAAGCCCGGGGAGCAGAGGAGTGACACACCATGCCTCCACTTGTGTGCTGGGCCTAGGAGGGGATGGGAGAGAGTCAGTCCAGTCAGGTGGTTGTGGGTGATAGGAGGGTACCTGAAGGAACCAGCATCATCTTGTGTGCTGCTTCTGGCACTACCACCATTTTGCTAGAGCTCAGGAGCTGTGTCCCAGGCAGCTTCGCAGGATGGGGCCAGAACTTGTTTGTGGGCATTGGTTCCATCACCTCTGTCCTTCCTGGCAGGTTAGATCCTGGAGGGGGCCCTCCTCCCTGTGTGCCAGCAGCCATGGTCAGACCTGGCCCAGACACAGGTGCTTGGAGATACTTCTCCACCTTAGCCCGTCCGTGTGTCCGAGGGTGGGGATACCTGCCAGCCCCTTGATATCTCCTCTTGCCCTCTCCACATCCACATGTGCTGGTGTCTTCTGGTGGGCTCCTGGGTCTGGGTTTACAAACATGCACTGCTCTTGGTGAGCACCCTGTGAGAGAGGGCAAGGTGTGAGTGGCGTGCCGGCTGCTGTGGCAGAAGATGCCAATTGTGTTTCTTTCTTCTTGGGGAGTTCTTTCCATCACCTGCCATGGGAGATTATTTTTATCTCTGGTAAACAGCCTTAATTTCAGTGCTGTGTGATCTTTGGTACAACCTGCATGTAGGCCAACAGGTGATCGCCCACAATTCAGAGATCATGATCTTGGTTTTGATTCAAATACCCGTGGGAATGTGCTCTACAAAGCATGTTTGATGTGTTTTCAATACCTCCTGGTGCTGGGGGAAGATTTTATTAATCTGAGTAGGTTTAGATTCTGTGGTTGTTTAGTACCTTTGTTCACAAATATGTTGCTTTGCTCCTGTCCAGTGAGAAGTCACAAAACCTGGATGTCTGAGGCAAGGCTGCCAGCTTCTTGCCAAATGGGGTGATAGAAAACTGTTCTCAGAAGTAATGATAAGTGAAAATTTAGTGTCAGCAAGAAAGTCTGTGTCAAACTGACTGGTTAAATAAACATATTTCCATGCAGAAGGGCTGTGCCTATAGAAAAGAGTGTGACATCAGGTGTTGAAACTGTAGGTTTCATAAGGACGAGGAGTTGTGGTTTTGACTCAGTGTATTCTAAGTTTAGCCAACACATTTCTACTGAAAATCAAAATTTCCTGTGGAAAATAATAACAAAAATAATGACACTATTGTTCACTTTTTACATTTGATAATGTGACTAGGGATATACTTTGAATTCCTTACAACTTGCCTCCATTTCTGAGCCCTTGTTATTCAGTGATATTTGTGAGTTTTTTGCTAACATTTAGTCATTAATTCACTCCTTGAATTGTCAGATCCTGAGCTTTATTCTACCTTCCCTCTATACCTTCTGACCCTTTCTTTAGGGTGTGCTTTCCAGCAAATTTCAGTGCACCAGAGCAAAGAAAAATCTTAATCTTGCTGAGAAACTCAGAATTCAGAGCTGCAGCCAGCTTTCTTTGTAAGAAACAATAGTTACTAGGACTTGGTCTGACTTTTTGGACATTACTTTGGATCTTGTGGCAAACAAGCTTTTATCATTAGGTTTTGCTTCATGGCAGGCAGGCGGAACTGAGGCAGCAAGGGACGTTGCAAGTTGATGCTGAGCCTTCCTCTCCTCAGCTGGAGTGTTTGGATGGCCATGCTCTACCAGTGAAAAGTCAGAAAATAGCATTTATGCTTTCTTAGCTCAAAAGACATTCTGGTGTTAATGCTCACACTCAAAGGCAGATTTAACACACACACACAAAAAAAAAAAAAAAAAAAAAAAAAAGGAGTTTCCCTAGGAACAAGACCTTGTATAACCTTAACAGAGGAGGATGGCAGGCTGAGGTCTCTCATGCACAGTTTTGCCTGCACACTTTCTGCAGAAATAGAAGGCTCTGTGACACGGACAGTCGTCTGGGTCTTATCATGATAGCAAGGTCTTTACAGTCTTTTGAGCAGCATTTTGCGCCACATAAGATCTTTGGTGTTGTACAAAGGTGACAGAGGCCAGAACATAGCCCAGTAAGATGAAGTCTATGTGAACACTGGACTTTCCATTTTAAGGAACTCATCCCCATGTGGTTCTGTAACTTTCCCTTTGTTTTTCCTTTGCTTCCCTAATAAGGATAAGTTGCAAGCAAAGCTCAATATTGTAGTTTCTTTATTGCAGCTAAAATAAATTCTCACACTTAGAAACATGCAGTTTAAATTAAAGGCCATGGGCAGTTCTTTTTTTACTGCGCAGCAGTTGGCTACATGGGCATCAAGGTTTGTTCTGTGTCCTGCTGGAAGTGATCTGGTTTTGCACTGCCTAGACCTCTATTGACTCACCTCTCTTTGTTCAGAAAGTTGACAGCTCATCTACTATAATGTTCTTTATATCTTCATTTCTGTTGCCAAAAATTTCCATTAAAAGGTGCTGTTCTTGTAAGGCCAGCTTGCCTTTCTTTCATCTTGAGTATTTTCCTAGGCATGATTTTAGAATCAATAGTGCTCGGTTAAAAAATCTGAACAACAGATGTTTTTAAAGCATGTGAAAAAGGAAATCTGAAAAATACATATTGAATATGTTTTATGGTGATACAATTTTGGATCTGTGTCTTCTATTCACCTCTATTCCCAGCATGAACCCATGACAAAAATAAATAACAGGCAACAAAGCTAGTAGTAATGCCAAAGCTTCAAAATAAATGTGGTTGCTTGTGAAAAAGCAGTTGAGTGAGTTGGATGAAATGGCAGTGTAATTATACGGTAGCAAGTCAAAGTTTGATAGCTTGGAGCTTATCTTAGCACAGCATGCCACTTCCCCCCCCCCCCCCTTGGTATGGCATGTTTCTTTTTCAACACTTCATTCCTAGTTGTTCCTTTTTAAATAATCCTATCAAACCTTAAGTTTGTTGTTCCTAATGATTTTGGAAGGAAATTCAGATAGTAAATAAAATGGCACAGACCAAAACAGTTTAACCAAGATATCCCCAAAAGGAAAAATTTGGGTAGTTAAAGTGAACGTTGTGAATTCCCAGCTCTGCAGGTTTCTTTATTTTATTAACACTTCTCTGATTAGCTTCAGTTTTGCCAAGATAAAGGATAACAGTATGCAAGACTCTTGTGGAAAGTATGCCTATGCCCTAAATGACCTGAAACTGCGGACTGCCTGTTAAATATCTATGTGTATATGACACTAGTCCACTGTCACAAGTGTTTCCATTATTCGGAAGACTGAGCAGAACAAAATGGCTTAAGCTTTGGTAAACAAATTTTAAGTTACTAGTATGCTTTTAAATAGTTCAGTAAAAATTGCTTCCTTTAGTAGTCAAGGTCTCTTATCTGATACCTGCTTCCTTCCCTCTCTGTGGATGCTTCCTGTTTTCCATGTCAGTCCACACATCCCCCTGTGTATTTCCATGTGCCTTTTCCTGTTGTCCTCTGATCTGCTGCAGCTGCTCCTCAGATGCCTCTCCACCAAGGAAAGGTTCCAAAGCCGGGCTGGCTCCCATACAGTGCCATGAAGACACACTTTGAGGACCCCTACTCTCACCCCTTGAGCAAAGAGGCAGCAGCATATGCATTTCTGGGCATGCTGCTGCAAACTAGCCTGTGTACCATTAACTGTGCACACCCCACGTTGGAGGTCCCTCTTGTGTCTTCACCTGGTCCCCTGTGCTGTTAGTATTGTGCAAGAGGCACGAGAAAAACAAGAAGAAAATAAGATGTGTCAGGTCTGTGATAGCACGCAGTTAAATCATGTCTGTGCTTTCAGGTATGACTCAGTTAACCTCTCTGTGATGGCTATTACTATGGAAATAAAATGCTGACTGATAAGTGGGAGAAAATTACTTAAGGAAGGATCCTGCTTCTTATAGGTGGAATTGCATCTTCAGGGATTTAGTAGGGTTTGTCAATAAAGCAGAAAGCCAGAGAGATAATGTCTGTACATTTCTGTCAAGTACACTCTAGTTCATGAGTGTTTCCAATCCCTGTTTCTACTGTTTTACAAGAGGAATGTGACTATATTTATTTCAATTACCTATGTTCCAACAACAGCAAAACTGAGGTGGAATATTGCAAAATACTTACTTAAAAGGGAAGCGCGCACAAGACATTATATAGACAGTATTTTCTTACATTTTTTTAATTGAAAAATTCATTCTGTTTATCTTCCTTTCTATTCTCCTACTGCAGGGGATGGATGTGGGCACACAGTGATGTATCAAGACAGTGGGACACTGGCATCCAAGAACTATCCTGGGACATACCCAAACTACACTCTTTGTGAAAAGAAAATCCAAGTGCCTCCAGGAAAACGCCTGATCTTGAAAATTGGAGACCTGGATATAGAATCACAGAAATGCGAGTCCAGCTACCTTACCATCCAGAGCTCTTCAACATTGCACGGTATGTAAGAGACAAGGCCACGGTCGATGCATGAGCTGGTAAAAGTGTGAGTAAAAAGCAGCTTAGGAAAATGCAGGTAATGTCAGCCTTTGTCCTCTCCTTTCTGTATCCAAGTGTTCTGTTCTCTGTGTGGGAAGTCATTGTCCCGCTGTGTGTAGTTCTGCCAAGGCTGAGGTGCTGCAGAGGGGCTGCCGGGGCTCTGGCATAGCAGTCCTGAGAGCTCTGCCTCCACACCTGTGGACCATCGCAGTTTTGGTACAGCAAGTCTGTAGATCTGTATCATCCCTGCTCCCTTCTGTGTAGGGGAAAAGCTTCCTCACAAACTAGCCAAAGATGGGAAATTGTGTGTCTCTATTCCTAGGCAGTCCATGGCTCAGAGAGGAGATAACCTTTACTGTTGCTAGCTGTTAGCCGCCTTACTAATGTACAGGCTTTAATACTTGCAGATATTAAATGCATACAGCCAGACTGCGCTCCTGTAAGAGATTTGCACAGGAAGATAAACAAATAATCTGCTACAGCTGTGCACTTAAAACAATCATAACGGCAACAGGATTCTCCCCAGGGAGAACCTGAGGCCTTCCTCAAAATGGTTTTCCCAGCCGATTGTCACTGAATTTTTTGATCTGCACTTTCTAGAAGAGTCAAACTGATTTTCAAGTCATGCACCCTTTTTCAGAAATCCAATTTAAATTCAAAGCTGCAAGGAGTTCTGCAATGTGGGAATGAACTCCTGAATTGAAAATTCATAAATTTTTTCCTGCTGGGAGTGGGCTGTGCAGCCCTTCAGTCAGCTGAGGCTAAATGTGCTGTACTGGACTTAGCAAGCAGGATTCAAGGGAAAAATGTGATGAAGATATGAGCTGCACAGAGCCTCTGCAGGTTTTCCACCTCGCTGCTTGGCTCAGAAAAGTATGTGGTTCTCCAAAGACGAGATCTCACAAGATATCTTAGTAGTAAGGAGGGTTGATTGCCTTCCATTTATCAGCATGATAGGCTTATCACTCATCTGGTAAGAGAAGATCAAGTGAGGTATTAAAGGCTTGCTCACAAAGGAAGGTAAAGGTAATTATTGTTCTCATGGGGGAGGTATTACAATTTGAAACAACCTTCACTAAGAGTGGGCAGTGACATGCTGATATCTAAGCCTGCACAGAGCTTGATTTGAGGCATAAGGAATATCTCTGTTCATGTGTGCTGGGATTTTTTAATGTTATTTATTTCTTTCTTCACTGTGAGTGCACTGAGGCACTGGAGGAAGGTTGTCCAGAGAAGCTGTGGATGCCACATCCCTGGAAGTGTTCAAGGCCAGGTTGGATGGGGACCTGACCAACCTAATCTAATGGAAGGTCCCTACCCATGTCAGGGAGGGCTGGAATTAGATGCTCTACAAGATGCCTTACAATCCAAGCCATTCTATGGTTCTGTGATCAGTTTCATAACTAAGAAATGAGTTGTGTTCACCTGAAGCCGTCTGTCTCTACTTGGCAGTAAGAAATAGGTGGTTATTATTGTTATTATTGCACTAGCATATGTTTGAATAATTTTTTTTGATACTGCCTTGACATTTCTAATCTAAGGATCTTCTCAGAAACAGGGAAAAATCAATATATTGTTTTTTGAAGTGAAAAATGAAGCTTGGATGTTGATTGAAATTCTGGCTCCTCACAGATCAGCCTGAAGGCATCATCTTCACATCATTTATACTGCAGTTATTCAGCCTATAAGCACAGAATAGCTGTGTATTATGCAATCAAGTTCACATAATTAATCTTTTTAAAGTATTCCCACACCCATTTTCAGATCGGACTGGTAATGTCTGATGCATGTGGACTGTCATTTGCATTCTCAGTAGTGAGCAGCACAATTAGCAGATTTTGCTCCTATCTGATTAAACTAGTTTTATAATTTAGGCAGATCTACCTTCTGTAATGGTTTTTGTGGTCTCACTGTAGACTTTCCCACCAGCATACCTATAGAGTGTCTATGCTACATTCAGGCAAATCCACGCAGAATGGATGTGGCAATAGTTCTGTAGGCATAAATTCATGATGTTGCTTATGTTTTGAAAGACACGTGAATTCTTAGATGAGATTAGAGCTTCTCTAAGTCATTTTTTTCAACAGTCTTGGTATAGCTTTGGATTTCAATATGCATTTATGCAAGTAAAAGAAGGCCCATGAATAAACACTGCTACATCCATTCAGCCTGTGTCCTTTTAGACAGTTGTTTCTGAACTCACATCTCCTCTTTGCAACCCTTCCCTCTTCATGAACATCTACAGGCAGGTCAACATCTTCCCTCTGGCCAAGGAGATACTGACCTTAGACATCGAAATTCTTCCACGGGATGATGGAGAGTTGAAAATATTTTGCAAGCACTGAAAACATCTGAGCAATTGAAAGCTAATCTTTGTGTGTTTTCTGTATTTGACCTGGGTTTAAAAAGGAAAACCTAAAAAGCAAAGTATGAAAGCTGGCAATGTGAATACTGCTTATTTTTCAAATTAGTCTGAGCAGCCTTTGCTCTTTATTTAGGAGGCTCGCAATTACAAGACAATAAGGTCCAAAGGGAAATATGTTTTAAATATCATGCTGATTTCTTCAGCTCCATAGAAGACAACAGCATAAATGTCAGTATGAGTACAAACATCTGTTGAGGAGTATATCTAAAGCTTAGAAAATTGGTCAGAGGCAAAATACTAGATTATGCATACAAATATAAAATTAGTGTGAAGAAGACTCCAGATGATAAAGTATTGTTTTCCTTTCAGATTTCTTTCAGTCTTTACATTTAACTGTGATTCATTCATCATTATAACCATCTGCAGGGATTCTTGCAATACAGCAAGGAGTAACTCAATTTGTCTTTGGGGTATTTGTGTTCCATTCAGCAAAGGGAATCTTTGAAATACAAATTAAGGGATTAATCGATTTATATTAGCAGGAACATTGATGCTACTTTTGTAAGTTGGTGACTACAGATTAGAGCACTTACATGCAAATTTTATAAAAGTTCAGGACATTCCTTGAATTCTGCAGACGGATAGAAGAGTATGATTCATTCCTAGAAAAGCGTGCAGTGTTGTTGTATATGCTGATCTACTGAAGCCCTTCTCAGTCTCAGCTAATACACAAATGTGACACTACAGTTCTTCTCACCTTTGGTACTTCTCAGCTATGATGGACCTGTGAAAGCAGCTATTGAATTTAGATTTCTCCAATATTGCAATTAAAAGATGACAATTAAATAATCATAATGCAGCTCTGAAACCAGAGTCATAAGGCATCTGAACACTGTATCTTATTACTCTGCAAATTATTTTCTTTAGTGTTCACTGAAGAAAGGAACCTGCAGAAAGCCTTTTCTTTCAAGCTGTTAGCTCTGTATCCAGACATAGCTGTGAAAATATTAATCATCAGTCAGCAAAGGGAGTCTAACACCCGTTTTGGTGAAACTGAGTCACCTTTGTCTGACAAACATTTAAATATTAGCACAGCTTTGCACGGGTTGTCTCTAGGAGAAATAAATAGATGATCATGGTCTGTTTCAAAGGCACAGCTTTTGACTGGATTAAAATGTGGTGTTTTTTGTCCCACAGAAAATTAATATGAGCATAATCTCACAGTGCAGACAAGGTGCAGCCTCTACCGAAATGCTTTTCTTCTCGAGTTAATTGCATTATCTGAGCATATTAAAAATACTGAGCTCTGAAGTAGAGCTTCTGATTTTTTAATTAGTTAAAGGGATATGTGAAAACAAGATTAACCATGTCAGCCCTGTAGTTCTCAAGAACAAAATTTGCACTACTTACGAAGGTGGATCATAAATGTTTAAAAAGTTTGACAGGAACTGCTTTTAGTCTGCTTCTTTTCATGTCTCTATCAGATTTCTGTTTTGACCCCCTTTTTTTGCTTTTTTCTATCTCTTCCCCATCTAATGGCTTGGTATTTTTTCCCCTAATTTTGTGAGATGATCATCAGTCTTGACTGGAGAGAAAGCCAAAAGAAGAGATAAGTGCCTACTTACTTCCTCATTCACTTGCAGTCAGTAGGAGGTTGATGTGTTCCTCTGGGGTGGATGTCAGAGCTGCTGAGTGACTAGTAATAATTTGGAGAGTTAGTGCAGTTGACTTGTTCTTGCATAATTTACAGCTGGTAACTAATGTGAAATAGAGGATTTACTGAAAATGCTTTCTTCTCCCCACACTTCATCACTAAAGGTACAGAGTGCCTTTGGATGCCTACTACCTGTCATTATGACTTGAGGGGATTCATCAAACCAGTCTCTCCTTGTTATGTATTGAAATAAATATCGTTTGAATAAAGGGTGTGTCCAGATTTCTTTTTCATCCCTCAAAGGAAACTTGTTATTACTGTATTGTTTCTGGTATTTCAGGAAACCCAGAGAAATGCCCAGACAAGTTCTTGCTGAAGATCAAGTTGAGCAGTTTCTCCACAGTCAAAACACTTTTAACAGTTGGGTTTCACCTGAGTGGTTGCAGTAGCCTGAGTTTTCAGCTTTGGAAGGATTGATGCAACAAAGAATGTCAGCGTTTTGTTTTATCAAATGGACCTTTTTTCCTGTTAGCTGCATACATACAGTGAATTAGTCTCTGTTTTCTGTTAAACTACACCCATGTTTCCTAGTTGTTGCTGTGTTTCTGTCTTTGGATTTGGCTAAAACCACAGTAATTGTTAAAAGGGGGGATCTCGCCTGAGGTCAAGCAGGCAGATCAGACTGTGCAGGTGGCCCAGACACTCCATTTTAAAGTTGTGATTCCTTCCCCAGCGTAACTCAGATGCCTTTTTCTTTCCTTTATTGCAGTCTTTGGCAACCCTTTAGAAACGTTGAGTGAATGTTATATTTGTTTTTTTCTAAAACAAGAAGTGCTTACCTCTCAGCCTGAGGTCAGACTGCATTGCACAGAGTTAAATGTTGAATAACCAGGCTGTCTCATGCTGACTGCTCTGTCATCTCGTATCTGCAGTGTTAAACAC